CAAAACAGAAACAGACTTACAGACATAGAAAACAAACTTATGGTTACCAAAGGAGATGGGAGATGGAGAGATAAATAAGGAGTTTGGGATTAACATACATACCTTACACTACTATGTATAAAATAGATAAACAACAAGGACCTACTGTATACCACAGGGAACTATAATCAGTATCTTGTAATAACCTATAATGGAAAAGAATCTGAAAAAGAATAGATATTTATGTACAACTGAATCACAGTGTTGTACACCAGAAACTAATACAACATTATAAATCAACTCTATTTTAATAAAAAAATTTTTTTAAATTAGTGTGTTTACTACAGGCTTTATTTTGTAAATGTTGAAAAACATGAACAAGAAGGATACAGCCTGCCTTAGAGTGTTTACTTCTGTGGAGGCAGGCACTGGGAAACTGAGATAAAGGGACTTAGGAAGGAGGATTTCTTAAACTAATAATATATATCTCGCCGGCAAATGAAAACATTAAGAAAATGTGGCTGGTGAATGTACAGAAATTAAATCACTCCCTTTATTTTTCTATATGTTTGAAATACTTTATAACAACATACACATTTTTGTGCTTTGGGAGGATGTTATGTTACTATGCTTCACACTTTTGTTTGTTTGTTTGTTGCTTTCGCCCAAAGTGGTTGCTGATGTATAGCACCTACTTTATAAATTTTGAAACACTCCACTCTGAGCTTTGATTTTAGACCCAGAGGGTCAGCCAGCCAGGACTTAAGATTAAGGACTTGAGGAAACAGATTTTCCCTTGATAAGGAGGCCCTAAACTAGAAAACCTGTCCTAAAAATCTTTTTCTTAATTTGTGAAATCATGTGTATGAACACTTTTATAGAGTTAGGGAATTAGACTCCCTCTTACCTTTATTTTAAACAATAATCTGGCACTCACATTAGTAAAATTCATGATATTCAGATTGTTAGAGAAAATCTAGGTCATACCAAAGTTTGGTTCCTTGGAAATTTGATTTTCTTATATAATTTTCAAGTTGCTCAAAGAGATAGATACTCACATATTGCTTTAGAAAAGCAGTCAGCCATTTAGCCGGAGTTCAGAAGAAGGAGACTTCATTTCTTTTACTTATTTTGTACCTTCATTGTAAATGGTAGGTAGGCTGGTAAAACAGTCATATGTGTTAGCTATTATAAACAGAAAACAAAAGGGAAAAAACCCTCTCTCTTTACAAGGGCAGTGCTCAGGCAAACACATTTAGGCCTATTCACATTAGATATGAAAATTGCTATGAAGAACAACTAAAAATAAAAATGAAAAAAATAGCACTAATGGTATTTGCTGCAGAGTTAAGACTCACACTGGAAATCATGATTTAATTGCAAAGATGCTTGAAAACCAGGGACGGAGATTTTCTGTTTCCCCATCCTAGGATTCATTTCCTAATTGTTTTCCAGTAATTTTTCCTTAGACAGATAGATTTTATTTTAGAGGTTATTAAAATAAATGTCCAGTGATCACAGCCACTTTCTCCAGTGGGAAGTTGGCCCAAGCCTAAGGCATCTGTCTCCTCCTTCTTTATTTTATATTCTCATCGAGCTGTTGTCTCTAAATAAGCAGGTGGCTGTGCTGGGAGGGAAGGATGCCAGTCATTGGCCACACACTGGGCCAAACCTGCTGTGATACCCCCTTGTCCAGACTAGTCCTCAGAGTCTGCATCCTCAGTGGGGACAATTTCAATCCATCTGTGGGCTTCAGGATGTTGGTGTATTATAGAAGGTGGGTAAGAAGGAATATGGCAAAGAGGTACTAGATGTTGGAGTAGCAGAAGATGGTCCCCATCCTTCCTTTCTTAGATGGGAAGGCATCTCCAGACAAAGGATACTAGATGAATAGGGCCAGCCATGCTGTCTGGGGGAAGGTGTCAGGCAAGACAGCAAATGCAAAGGCCCTGAGGCAGGAAAAAGCTTCCTGAGTTAGGCTGGAGTAAACCACACACCTGGGAGAAGGACCTGGAGAGGTAGGCCTTGCCAATCAGGTTATGGGGTTGTGATTGTATTTTCAATGTTATGAGAAGCCCTTGGAGGGTTTCAGGCAGGGGGTTGTGGGATCAGGTTTGCGCTTACAATTTTTTGTTTTATTTTTATTTTTGGTTGCATGGGGTCTTAGTTGCTGCGTGCGGGCTTTCTCTAGTTACAGCGAGTGGGGGCTACTCTTTGTTGTGGTACACGGGTTTCTCATTGTGGTGGCTTCTCTTGTTGCAGAGCACAGTCTCTAGGCGCGTGGGCTTCAGTAGTTGTGGCACACGGGCTCAGTAGTTGTGGCTCACAGGCTCTAGAGCACAGGCTCAATAGTTGTGGCGCATGGGCTTAGTTGCTCCGCGGCATGTGGGATCTTCCTGGACCAGAGCTTGAACCTGTGTCCCCTGCATTGGCAGGTGGATTCTTAACCACTGCACCACCAGGGAAGCCCCTGCACTTACAATTTAAAAACTCTACCATGAAGAGGGGGATCATGGTAGAGCAAGGGAAGCAGAGTCCAGTTTGCACGTAGAAAGAACTACTACTATTTATTGAGAACTTTCTTTGAGTGAGGCACTGGGAATATAAAAATGAGAAAAAGAAGTTTTACTCTCAAGGGAGCCCAGTAAAGGCAACGACATTTAGGAATCGGCTGCCTATCTTTCTAAATCTTTCTCTGGCTTTTGCATTTTTATATGCATTGACTGAACACATAGAGAATTGTACTTATATGCCAGTGTGAGTTTGCCTTTAATATAGATGGTATTGTACTGTACAGGGTTCATTCAGCAGCATTTCCTGGAGATCCACCTATGCTGTTACATTTGTATAATGGTCATTCTTTGTGATAGCTGCATACTATTCTATAGTATTAATAAGCCAGAACTAACCTCCAAGGGTCAACCTGCTCCCTCAATTCCTACTCCCCAAGCCTTTTCTTTCCTAATTGTGGTTTGCTTACCTCAGCAAGTTGTGTTAAACTAAATGAAGAGGTAAATTGAGGTAAGCTTGAACTATGAGAAAGTGAGATTACTCAGGAATAGCATGGGAATTGCAATTTAAGGAAATGCAAACCACAGCAAGCTAAGGGCGACTGTGCTGGTGTGTGGGTGGGCTGTATTTATGGGGTGGGGGAGAGCAAAGACGGGGAATCTGGTTGCAGTCCAAGCAGTAAGTTCATTGGCTTGAGGACGGGAAGAGACTCTTGGCGCTTTTTCATTGGTCAGGAGGTAAATCTGGGTCTTCTGTATAACAGCCTTTAGGGCAAATCAGTCTCTCAGTTCTTAAGTTCCAAGTTCCGTTCTTTTCAGGGCACATGCATGACATTTCCATTTTAGATGGACATCCTTTCACAGTTGTGAATACTTTGTAAATGAACACATTGCCTTTTCTTTTGTTGGTGCTCACTTCATAAAAGGACTGCACACAGGAGCTCACTAAATGCTCACAGCAGCCTGATTATGCAGAGGCAACAAGCCTCCTGAATCCTTTGCCCTTGAACTGTCCTTGCCTGCTGCTCATAACACTTTGAATAGGGCCTTGAAACTGTGAGCCTTCAGCCTAAGGCAGTATGTCATCTGGGTGCTCTGAGCAGGGAAATAATGAAAAATAATGTTCAGTCGATGTCACAAGCCATTCACCATTCAGACAGTGATGGTTTTCAGGGCCGGTTGAAATGAGGTTGTTTTCTTCTGCTTCAGAACATCCTGGAAATAGTCTGCCTCCTGAATTCTGGGGACAGCTTGGGAGGAAGGGGTGATGGGTGAGTTAATATTGAAGCTGGGCTCCCCCCCCGAACATTTTATGATGAAAATTTCAAACACAGAAGATTTTAAAAACCGCACAGTGAACACCCATATACGTACTACCTAGATTCAACTCTTAACATTTCACATTTCACTCTACTTGCTTTATCATGTTCATCTGCCTATTAGCGCATTCACAGATGCATCAATCCATCTTTTTTTTTAAACATCTTTATTAGAGTATAATTGCTTTACAATGGTGTCTTAGTTTCTGCTTTATAACAAAGTGAATCAGTTATACATATACATATGTCCCCGTATCTCTTCCCTCTTGCATCTCCCTCCCTCCCAGCCTCCCTATCCCACCCCATCTTTTTTTTTTAATGCTTCTTAAAGCATACTGCATATATCACGACACTGCACCCCTAAACTTTCAGCAGGAGCACCACCAACTAGACTTTAATATTTAAAATTTTTTTAATATATGAGGGATATTTTTATCCACTGAAATGCACAGATCCCAAGGGGGCCATCAGTTTGACAAATGCCTACATTGTGGAACCTAAACCCCTATCAATATCTGCTGACATCATGATATTGGACTTTGTTCATGGGATCTCAGTCTTTAAGACTCCCATCCAGCTTAGGCAAGAATCATAAAAATCTGCAAAACACCTCAGTAGAAAAGAAGCCCCAGGTAACTGTCCTGGTGGAACCAGAGAGTCTACAATTTCAGACCTTGAGACGGAACTCAAGTTGGGAGAGGTTATTTCCTTTTGTGCTGTCTAATGTCACTGTCTGGATCTACAAACTTAAAAAAAAAAAGTTCATTTTTACATACCACTTTGCATTCAAAGTCAAAAGAACACAGAGAATCTAGAAAAAGGATAGAGAAAATTAACTGGAAAAAACAGGATGGGAAGGGGAATATTTCCACGGAAAAGCACATTTCTGCAGGCGGTCTGGCCGGAGCTGGGCAAGAGCTTTAGGGTATGTAAAGAATTTGATAATACACACATTATGACCCATATTATACAGAAATTGTGACTCACATTACAAAAGCAGGGCACTTGGGAAGGGTCCTGAGGTACAGTGCTGGGCTTTTCAAAAACTGCTTTAGAGAGGCCAACCAAAGGTGTACAATTTCAAATGAAAAAAACTGAAACGTGGTCTCCGAATTACTAAACACCACCTTCATTGTCATCAACAATGAAAACGACAGTTCGCAACAGTTTCAACAAAGTTGAAAACGCTGAGTCGAGTTTTTTCCTTTTTTTTTTTTTGAAGTTTGAGGCCAAAATCAACACATTCTTTTGGATGCTGCTTAATTTTTTTTCATGGTTAATATGCATGCTGGTGATATCAAAATTGAAAACTATGGCACATTATAGAAAAGAAAGTAGTGAGGTTATACTCCCACTCTGCAGAGATGAGACCTATTAGCAAACTTTTCCCACTGCGCTTAGTTTTCATTGTGACCCTGCTTTTGGGACGACAGTTCTTTTAACAACCAGCACTTTCAAACAAAAATTACAGAAAATATCGATTAACAGTCTTTTCCTTCTTCTGGCAGATGCAATCCAGAAATTGATTACAGGATGAAAGCGTTCTCAATTAAAAGAGAGAAGGTGGACGGAGAAGTATCTAAAAAGAGAAATGGAAAACATCACGCCTTTATTTTGGTGAATTGGCAACAAAGAAAAGGATTAGCATGGTCGGGTACTTTTCAAAAATATTTTTTTTTTCTCTGGCTCCCGCTAGGGTGGAGGAAGTTGCCTCTGTTCCGAATGAGGGTGGAAGGGAGCGGAGGAACAAATGATGGGAGTCTCCCCCGCGCTCCTCCCGCGCCCCCTCCCTCCGCCGGGTCATCTTGGGGGGGCGCGGGGTGGGCTGCCGAGACGGAGGCGGCCAGCAGGTGCCTGGGCTCCGGCCCCTGCCCCTCTCCCCCTCCCCCTTCCCCCGGGGTTGGCCTCGCCCCCTGGCGGGCGAGCGCAGGGTGCCAGGCGCGGGGTGGGGGGCGCGCGTCCGGCAGGCAGCAGGAAAGAGCCGGGGGCCGGGGGTCTGGCCCCCAATCCTACCGAGAGGCCGGCACCCGCCGCCCGCACCCCAGGACCATGTCGGCGGCCCGGGCGCCGAGCGGGGCCCCGGGGAGGAGAGCCGGGGGAGGGCGTGTGCAGTGGCGGCGGCGGCCGCGGAGCCGCTAGTCCCCTCCCTCCTGGGGGAGCAGCTGCCGCCGCCGCCACCGTCAGCGCGCGGGCCGCGGCCGGAGCGAGCCGGGCGGGTGGCGCGCGGGGCAGGGCGGGGGCGGGGAGGGGGGTGGGCGCTGGGGCGGGAGGGCGCGGGGGGAGGGTCTCGCGCTCCTGGCTACCAGAGCCCGAGAGGGAGACCCTGGCGGCGGCGGCGGTGGCAGCGGCGGCGGCGCCTGACACTCGGCGTCTCCTGCCGTGCTCCGGAGCGGCATGTCCGAGGCTGGCGGGGCCGGGCCGGGCGGCGGCGGGGCGGGGGCCGGGCTCGGGGCGCTGCCCCCCCC